CAAATATCTTTTCCCATTCCGTTGGTTGCCTTTTAGTTTTGTTGGTTGTTTCCTTTGCTGTGCAGAAGCTTTTTATCTTCATAAGGTCCCAGTAATTCACTTTTGCTTTTAATGCCCTTGCCTTTGGGGATGTGGCGAGTAAGAGATTGCTTCGGCTGAGGTCAGAGAGGTCTTTTCCTGCTTTCTCCTCTAAGGTTTTGATGGTTTCCTGTCTCACATTCAGGTCCTTGATCCATTTTGAGTTTATTTTTGTGAATGGTGTGAGAAAGTGGTCTAGTTTCAACCTTCTGCATGTTGCTGTCCAGTTCTCCCAGCACCATTTGTTAAAGAGACTGTCTTTTTTCCATTGGATGTTCTTTCCTGCTTTGTCAAAGATGAGTTGGCCATACGTTTGTGGGTCTCGTTCTGGGGTTTCTATTCTATTCCATTGGTCTATGTGTCTGTTTTTGTGCCAATACCATGCTGTCTTGATGATGACAGCTTTGTAGTAGAGGCTAAAGTCTGGGATTGTGATGCCTCCTGCTTTGGTCTTCTTCTTCAAAATTACTTTGGCTATTCGGGGCCTTTTGTGGTTCCATATGAATTTTAGGAATGCTTGTTCTAGTTTTGAGAAGCATGCTGGTGCAATTTTGATTGGGATTGCATTGAATGTGTAGATAGCTTTGGATAGTATTGACATTTTTGACAATATTTATTCTTCCAATCCATGAGCAGGGAATGTCTTTCCATTTCTTTAAATCTTCTTCAATTTCCTTCATAAGCTTTCTATAGTTTTCAGCATACAGATCCTTTACATCTTTGGTTAGATTTATTCCTAGGTATTTTATGCTTCTTGGTGCAATTGTGAATGGGATCAGTTTCCTTATTTGTCTTTCTGTTGCTTCATTGTTAGTGTATAAGAATGCAACTGATTTCTGTACCTTGATTTTATATCCTGCAACTTTGCTGAATTCATGTATCAGTTCTAGCAGACTTTTGGTGGAGTCTGTCGGATTTTCCATGTATAATATCATGTCATCTGCAAAAAGCAAAAGCTTGACTTCATCTTTGCCAATTTTGATGCCTTTGATTTCCTTTTGTTGTCTGATTGCTGATGCTAGAACTTCCAGCACTATGTTAAACAACAGCGGTGAGAGTGGGCATCCCTGTCGTGTTCCTGATCTCAGGGAAAAAGCTCTCACTTTTTCCCCGTTGAGGATGATGTTAGATGTGGGCTTTTCATAAATGGCTTTTATGATCTTTAAGTATGTTCCTTCTATCCTGACTTTCTCAAGGGTTTTTATTAAGAAAGGGTGCTAGATTTTGTCAAAGGCCTTTTCTGCATCGATTGACAGGATCATATGGTTCTTTTTTTTTTGTTGTTAATGTGATGTATCACGTTGATTGATTTGCGAATGTTGAACCAGCCCTGCATCCCAGGAATGAATCCCACTTGATCATGGTGAATAATTCTTTTTATATGCCGTTGAATTCGATTTGCTAGTATCTTATTGAGAATTTTTCCATCCATATTCATCAGGGATATTGGCCTGTAGTCCTCTTTTTTTACTGGGTCTCTGTCTGGTTTAGGAATCAAAGTAATACTGGCTTCATAGAATGAGTCTGGAAGTTTTCCTTCCCTTTGTATTTCTTGGAATAGCTTGAGAAGGATAGGTATTATCTCTGCTTTAAACGTCTGGTAGAACTCCCCTGGGAAGCCATCTGGTCCTGGACTCTTATTTGTTGGGAGATTTTTGATAACCAATTCAATTTCTTCACTGGTTATGGGTCTGTTCAAGCTTTCTATTTCCTCCTGATTGAGTTTTGGAAGAGTGTGGGTGTTCAGGAATTTGTCCATTTCTTCCAGGTTGTCCAATTTGTTGGCATATAATTTTTCATAGTATTCCCTGATAATTGTTTGTATCTCTGAGGGATTGGTTGTAATAATTCCATTTTCATTCATGATTTTATCTATTTGGGTCATCTCCCTTTTCTTTTTGAGAAGCCTGGCTAGAGGTTTGTCAATTTTGTTTATTTTTTCAAAAAACCAACTCTTGGTTTCATTGATCTGCTCTACAGTTTTTTTCGATTCTATATTGTTTATTTCTGCTCTGATCTCTATTATTTCTCTTCTTCTGCTGGGTTTAGGCTGCCTTTGCTGTTCTGCTTCTATTTCCTTTAGGTGTGCTGTTAGATTTTGTATTTGGGATTTTTCTTGTTTCTTGAGATAGGCCTGGATTGCAATGTATTTTCCTCTCAGGACTGCCTTCGCTGCATCCCAAAGCGTTTGGATTGTTGTATTTTCATTTTCGTTTGTTTCCATATATTTTTTAATTTCTTCTCAAATTGCCTGGTTGACCCACTCATTCGTTAGTAGGGTGTTCTTTAACCTCCATGTTTTTGGAGGTTTTCCAGACTTTTTCTGTGGTTGATTTCAAGCTTCATAGCATTGTGGTCTGAAAGTATGCATGGTATAATTTCAATTCTTGTAAACTTATGAAGGGCTGTTTTGTGACCCAGTATATGATCTATCTTGGAGAATGTTCCATGTGCACTCGAGAAGAAAGTATATTCTGTTGCTTTGGGATGCATAGTTCTAAATAGATCTGTCAAGTCCATCTGATCCAATGTCTCATTCAGGGCCCTTGTTTCTTTATTGACCGTGTGTCTAGATGATCTATCCATTTCTGTAAGTGGGGTGTTAAAGTCCCCTGCAATTACCACATTCTTCTCAATAAGGTTGCTTATGTTTATGAGTAATTGTTTTATATATTTGGGCGCTCCGGTATTCGGTGCATAGACATTTATAATTGTTAGCTCTTCCTGATGGATAGACCCTGTAACTATTATATAATGTCCTTCTTCATCTCTTGTTACAGCCTTTAATTTAAAGTCTAGTTTGTCTGATATAAGTATGGCTACTCCAGCTTTCTTTTGGCTTCCAGTAGCATGATAAATAGTTCTCCATCCCCTCACTCTCAATCGAAAGGTGTCCTCAGGTCTAAAATGAGTCTCTTGTAGACAGCAAATAGATGGGTCTTGTTTTTTTATCCATTCTGATACCCTATGTCTTTTGGTTGGCGCATTTAATCCATTTACATTCAGTGTTATTATAGAAAGATATGGGTTTAGAGTCATTGTGATGTCTGTATGTTTTATGCTTGTAGTGATGTCTCTGGTACTTTGTCTCACAGAGTCCCCCTTAGGATCTCTTGTAGCACTGGTTTAGTGGTGACAAATTCCTTCCGTTTTTGTTTGTTTGGGAAGACCTTTATCTCTCCTTCTATTCTAAATGACAGACTTGCTGGATAAAGGATTCTCGGCTGCATATTTTTTTCTGTCTAGCACACTGAAAATCTCGTGCCAATTCTTTCTGGCCTGCCAAGTTTCAAAAGAGAGATCAGTCACGAGTCTTATAGGTCTCCCTTTATATGTGAGGGCACGTTTACCCCTTGCTGCTTTCAGAATTTTCTCTTTATCCTTGTATTTTGCCAGTTTCACTATGATATGTCGTGCAGAAGATCGATTCAAGTTACATCTGAAGGGAGTTCTCTGTGCCTCTTGGATTTCAATGCCTTTTTCCTTCCCCAGTTCAGGGAAGTTCTCAGCTATGATTTCTTCAAGTACCCCTTCAGCACCTTTCCCTCTCTCTTCCTCCTCTGGGATACCAATTATGCGTATATTATTTCTTTTTAGTGTATCACTTAGTTCTCTAATTTTCCCCTCATACTCCTGGATTTTTTTTATCTCTCTTTCTTTCAGCTTCCTCTTTTTCCATAACTTTATCTTCTAGTTCACCTATTCTCTCCTCTGCCTCTTCAATCCGAGCTGTGGTGGTTTCCATTTTGTTATGCATTTAGTTTAAAGCGTTTTTCAGCTCCTCGTGACTGTTCCTTAGTCCCTTGATCTCTGTAGCAAGAGATTCTCTGCTGTCAGCTATACTGTTTTCAAGCCCAGCGATTAATTTTATGACTATTATTCTAAATTCACTTTCTGTTATATTATTTAAATCCTTTTTGATCAGCTCATTAGCTGTTGTTATTTCCTGGAGATTCTTCTGAGGGGAATTCTTCCGCTTGGTCATTTTGGATAGTCCCTGGCATGGTGAGGACCTGCAGGGCACTTCCCCTGTGCTGTGGTGTATAACTGGAGTTGGTAGGCGGGGCCGCAGTCCAACCTGATGTCTGCCCCCAGCCCACTGCTGGGGCCACAGTCAGACTGGTGTGTGCCTTCTCTTCCCCTCTCCTAGGGGCGGGATTCACTGTGGGGTGGCGTGGCCCGTCTGGGCTACTTGCACACTGCCAGGCTTGTGATGCTGGGGATCTGGCGTATTAGCTGGGGTGGGTAGGCAAGGTGCACAGGGGCAGGAGGGGCAGGCTTAGCTCGCCTCTCCTTAGGTGATCCACTTCAGGAGGGGCCCTGTGGCAGCAGGAGGGAGTCAGATCCGCTGCCGGAGGTTTTGCTCCGCAGAAGCACAGAGTTGGGCGTTTGCGCGGAGCGAGCAAGTTCCCTGGCAGGAACTGGTTCCCTTTGGGATTTTGGCTGGGGGATGGGTGGGGGAGATGGTGCTGGCGAGCACCTTTGTTCCCCACCAAACTGAGCTCTGTCGTCAGGGGGCTCAGCAGCTCTCCTTCCCTTTGTCCTCCAGCCTTCCCGCTTTCTGAGCAGAGCTGTTAACTTATGACCTCCCAGATGCTAAGTCGCGCTTGCTGTTGGAACACAGTCCGTCAGGCCCCTCCGCTTTTTGCAAGCCAGACTCGGGGGCTCTGCTTGGCCGGCGAGCCGCCCCTCCGCCCCGGCTCCCTCCCGCCAGTCCGTGGAGCGCGCACCGCCTCGCCGCCCTTCCTACCCTCTTCCGTGGGCCTCTCGTCTGCGCTTGGCTCCGGCGACTCCGTTCTGCTAATCCTCTGGCGGTTTTCTGGGTTATTTAGGCAGGTGTAGGTGGAATCTAAGTGATCAGCAGGACGCGCGGTGAGCCCAGTGTCCTCCTACGCCGCCATCTTCCCTCCTTCCTCGTAGCTGGCACTACCTTAAGCACTTTAGAGTATTTTATTGTTATAACAGGTGGGGAAATTGACAAATGACTGAAACTTATTAGATAACCTATTCAAGGGTGCAAAGAGTATAAGTGATGGAACTCTGGTTTGAACATGGGCAGTCTGGCTCCAAGAAACTGAACAGCAGACAGGCACTGGGCACAGTGGTGAGAGAAGCAGGGGCCAGGCACGCAGACCACACTGAAGATTTTGAACAATAGTGTGCAAATTTAAGGACCTCAGAGAGAGAGAATTGGTAGGATGGCCTCTACGTTTTTCAAAATTCCCCTTTGGCTGCGTTATAGAGAATAGATCAGAGCAGGGCAAGAGTGGAAGCAGGAAGGCCAGTTACTATGATAATTGTAGCAAGTGACTCACGTGGGAGATGATTCAGAAGATGGGGTCTGCATTAGCAGAGTGGGCATGGGCTGGAGGGGTGTGGCAAATGTTCCAAAGATTGGGTTGAGCTACAATTTCTCATTAAAGAGTAAACACTATGCAGGGAACCGAATTGGATGAATTTACAGGTAACAATCCCATTTTAGAATACTGTTCTCATCTTGTTCTACAGTGGTCTAACCAAATTTCTAGAGAACTGAAAGATCTGTAGAGACACACTTATGACACGTACTGTATATGGTAGGTAACAGAACCTATTTTCTGGCTTCCGATTCAGGGCTTTGAAAATTAAGTCACACTAATAAATAACACACTCGGGTGTTTCCAGAAATTCAAAGTGCCAAAATTCAAATTGGACTTTCTGTACAAGGCATCAGAAAATGAAGAGCACCCAGTATTATTAAACTAACTACTTTGAAAAAAAAATTAAAAAATAAAGTAACTACTTTGAAGATCTTGGCTGGCACCTGAACTGGAAGAATATCAAGAAAGCCAGTGGTGCTCACCTTGTTGAGGCCCATTATCAGACTCTGCTTCTGGAAATGTCAGATAGTCAGATAGTCACAATAAATGAAATTCAGAGTGACTGGGTATCTTGCTGTATGCAAATGCGGAAAATTAATAGTTCATGCCAAAACAAAGGAAATTTGAGTTCCTAGACCAAGTGAGATCAGTCAGAGAGTGTCAGTATAAACTTCTTTATCTTTTCTTTATTTTGGAAAGGAAAGATTAGGCTAGAAAAGCTTTGTTTTCACTCTTTCCTCTTCATAATATATGAATGAATTGAAACCTAGATCTGACTTAGGTGATAATTCAGTTACAAAAATCAACATAATGACTTGTGATCATTCTGTTAACTATAAACTGTTTATTTTATAGTTACTGTTTTATATTCTAGCAAATTAGATGGGCCATATTTAATATGCTATTTAATAGCTTTTGTATATTAAAATTTAAAAAAAATTTTTTTTCTTTCTGGAGAAACAAACTTCCACTAGGAAAGCTTCATAGGACTTGTTCTCTTCTGTATCTACTGATTTGTAGATCTACTCTTCTGTATCTACTGATCAGTAGATATGTATCTACTGATTTGTTAAACCAAAGACATACCCAACACTCTTTTTAAAACGGTGGGATTGCATTTTTTAAACTACTCCTTGGTTATGGATTTCTCTCCACACAAACACAAAAATTTATTAGCAAGTAAATGAAATGAATATTTTATCAAGTCTTCACTTTTTGAGTTATAATAAATCTTTAAATTGTATTCATCAAGATTTAGAACATGGAACTATATTAACATTCACACTTTTCTCTAGTATTTAATTTCTACCTTCAGATACTGTTTTTTATTTAGATTCACAGATGCATGATTTTTAGTGATCGCTTATTATAAAGTCAATCTACTTGATCCATTTTTGTAAATAAAAAAAGTTATATATGCATAGGAAAAACCTTATGTGCTATGCTGTTGAGAACATTTGTTAAAAATCTATAATAGCTCCTGAACAAATAGGAGAGAAAATGACATTCTATCAAAAGTGATCCTTCATGATTTTTCACTTGGTTAAAAAACTAGATCATAACATATGCCCTCATCCCCCCAGAAGGTAATTAGCTCTTTCTCCAACCCTAGTGTTCACCTTACTCTATGTTCAGATATATTCCTGTCCAGTAAAAAATGTGGTTGAATAAGCTGTACTATAAACTGAATGGCCCTCTCCCTTTTCTCACTGCTTAAATATTTCACGATGAGGGAATTTTTATGAGAAACTTTATAATCTTTATAAACTTACACACATGTGTGAGTTATTGTTTTAACACTACGGCCTCAAGCATCAGGCAAGCTTACATGTCTCTGGCAGTCCACTCAGCGTTAAACAGGGGGAAGATGGGAGTAGGTGTGTTATTTGGGGGCAAAGTCAGTTTCTTTAGTGAAAATTAGATTGGCCATATTTAATACTACCAGATCTTGTTAGATACAAAAAAGTAAATTGTACCTTTCAAAATGAAATCTGATCCTCCTAAATTTTAGATGTCCTGTAGGAGACTCCCATTATTCTGTTTATGTAATTTTCATTTCTTGACATTTTGTACTCAAATCTGTTATTTTACTCAGATTGCATTAGATCCTGTAGGTGATTCTAAAACTGTAAAATCATAAAGCCTCAACCCTCAATCCTTTTAGTCTTATGATTCTCTTACAGACTTCAGAGCAACGTTTGTACATAACTTAGTAGTGTATTTTATGCCCACTTTTGGGCACAGTGTCATCTCAGAGACCATGTTTTACAGGAGGTAGTCAAAATGTGAAGTCTTGACTGTGCACACAGGGCATCCAGACACTTGCGCACTCTGTTCTTTCAGTCAGGTCGGCAATGGGGAAAGGGAGGGAAAGAAATGTTCGTTTATGTGGCAACACCAAAACAGAAGAGTGGTGGAAGGGCGAAACATGTAGGTAGAGTGTGATTTTTTTTTTAATTTTTTTTTTCAACATTTATTTATTTTTGGGACAGAGAGAGACAGAGCATGAACGGGGGAGGGGCAGAGAGAGAGGGAGACACAGAATCGGAAACAGGCTCCAGGCTCTGAGCCATCAGCCCAGAGCCTGACGCGGGGCTCGAACTCACGGACCGCGAGATCGTGACCTGGCTGAAGTCGGACGCTCAACCGACTGCGCCACCCAGGCGCCCCTAGAGTGTGATTTTTACCAAATGCTTCTTTGTCTATCTGTTGAGAAGCTACAAGGGATCACTTTTAGGTTGACTTCCCTAAAAACAGATGCTGAGGTGATGATTCAAGTGAAAGTGACTCCTCAGGAAGTGTTTCTAGGAAAGACTGGGAAATGAGTGGGCAGTGAGAGGTCTAGCAGCAAAAGTGAAATATCAAGCAGGTGCTGTAGAGGATAGCTACCCTATGGGGAAGTTGTGGCGATACTGTTATAGAGGGGTCCTGACAGATGGGGCGAAGAAGATTCTCCTGCCATCCATCATTGGCGAAGGGCTGCATCCACAAATGTAAATTTCAAAGACCTTGTGGCAGCTAGAGGGCAGTTCTCTGACAGACAGCCCCAGGTGCTTGGCTGTTGGCTAGGAGAGCACATTGGAATCTAGGGTGTACAAAAATGACAAAGGGATTCAAGGGGACAATCTTTGCTACACGACCCAAGAAACAATTTATGCGTGGGTTCTATGGAACTTCTAACCCAAAACATTCCACAGCCATAAAATCCTCAAGGAAAGCTAGTGACAACTCAATCCCATAAAACATTTCAACAGTTATAAAACAAAGGATTACTTCTTTCATGGAGATGGCAAAATGTGTTCTCCCTGAATTACATAAATTTTATTATAAATTGAAAAGAAGTATCGTTCCCCATTCTCTGTTAGAGACTTGAATGATCACAGATGTAGAAAAACAAGGTGAACTTTGAGTTGGTAACCAAATCCAAACACATTCATTTTCTTTCTAGATCTGTTGTATTTTCTGATTGATGGTACATGATATGAGAACAATCAAAAAACCTTAAGACCTCTTTTATGAGATTTCAATAATAAAATGTTATGTATAGGGGCGCCTGGGTGGCTCAGTTGGTTAAGTGACCGACTTCGGTTCAGGTCATGGTCTCACGGTTTGTGGGTTTGAGCCCCGCATCAGGCTCTGTGCTGACCGCTTCCTCAGAGCCTGGAGCCTGCTTCAGATTCTGTGTCTCCTTCTCTCTCTGGCCTTCCCCTGCTTGTGCTCTGCCTCACTTTGTCTCTCAAAAATAAATTAAAAAAATTTTTTTTAAATAAAATAAAACGTTAAGTATATATAGAACCAAAGGACAAAAATAACCTCTTCACCCTGCTCCACAAGAAAATATTAACTAAAGAGAACACCAAGAAACCCTGAAACATGTTTGTCTGATAATTTTTCCTTTGCAGCACACCTGATTCATATGTAAAATAGGAGATATTTGAAGAGCATGAGAATCTTTAAGGGATGATGGTGGTGCTACAATTTGAATTTCAACATAATTTCTAAAATGTGTTATTTCCTTTGTGGCATTTTAAGATTGTCTTCTGAATTTGAAAAATGCTTTGTGTTCCTTGACAGAAACAAACCATATTAGGGTATGTGTAAGTATGTGTGTGAATGGTCAATGTTATTATATAATGAGTTACATTTATGCAATATCTTTATTCCAAAGCCTCAACACATTTTATTGAAATAATCATCATGCTTAGCTAATTTGTTGATACAAAGTTCCAAATTTTAGAGATTTATAGAAATTGGAAGCAGTTATATAGCCTATCTTCATCTCTAAAGAGTGTTATATTAATTGCTTTAATTGTATCCTATACACTGGATATTCATTTATGAGGAAAATATGCTTGTCTATTGCTTTTTAATTTTTATTTGGGAAATGTTTTTATTTTTTAGTAATAAAAGTTAAATTTTCCTTTTTAAAACACTTTAGTTACAGATGGAATATTCCAGTTAAATGGACTGAAGATAATGTATCAAGTATTACATTCTACAACAGGTCAGAAACAGGAGGTAAATTTCATCAATTGATTTATTTCTTTTTTGCATTAATATACCACATTAAACTAATGTAAGTGTAAAGAAGCAACAATAAATCTGGAGCTTATAATGTAAATTTCAGCTAAAACAGAACTCTTAAGTAATTTATCAATGAATTCAAGCTCTTATCTATAATGAGAAATTTTCCACCTTGTGATATTCTTTTTAATGATTTACCATGACTTAATAACAAATACCCATGCCCAAAGGAGAAGTGTCACGCACCCAGTCATTGGATGATTAATGCATAAGTTTTCTTTCTTTCTTCCCCCCTTCCTCATTTCTTCCTTCCTTTCCTTTCTTCCTTCTTTTTCAACTTTACTATTTTTCCTTTAGAACAGAGAAGTAAGTCATGGAATTTCTTAAAACCAAGCCTGGTTTCTTAAAATGCTGTCATTAAATTAGACCTATCATTTTTCCAATTCAGTATAATATTAGAATTTTTAATGACTCCAAATTCTTTTCTAAGTTGTAAATTGTCACCAATAGCTCAAAGCACTATCTGTATCTATTTCCTTCCTTCCTTCCTTCCTTCCTTCCTTCCTTCCTTCCTCCCTCCCTCCCTCCCTCCCTCCCTTCCAACCATCTGTCCGTCCATCCATCCATCCATCCGTCCATCCATCCATCCATCCATCCATCCATCCATCCATCCCCCTAAATGAATTACTTGGTATGTACCTGTGTTAAAATCCAGCTGTGGCTACTATGCTAACTTAAATCAACTGGAAATATGTTTCTATAGTCTATCCCCTGTGGTTTGTCTTTTCCTTTCTTGAAAAAATTTAGTAGTATAAAAACAAGGAGACCTTATCTCATGTTCTCTCCTTCAGATGGCTGAAAAAATAATAGGGCATCCTAGAAGATTGCTACTTTTTATACTTTTACCATTGTACTTGTTTTACCTTTCAAAATCATTTCTTTTAGAAGACAAATGATACTCTTCTTCACCCCATCCCATGCAGGTTTTGTTTCAGAAAAGCATTTGGCATGGACTCTCCCTGTGACTTCTTAGGGATAAAAGTAAATAATCTATCCTTTATTTACATATTTGCTCCTACAAAATAGTGTAAAATATTAATTATGATTTCCCCTAACAAGTAAATTTTCACCCAATTTCCAGGAGGTTGATTTTTTAAAACAACCTCATTGAGATAAAATTCACATATTATGCAATTCACCCATTTAAAGTGTTTTTTATTACATTCACAGGTATGTGTAACCACCACCACAGTCCAGTGTACAATACTTTAATCACCTCAAAAATAAATTCCATGCCCTTTAGCTCTCAATCCCTCTATCCTTCTATACCCCAGCCCTAAGTAACCATGGATCTGCTGTCTGTATAGATTTGCCTATTTGGACATTTCCTATAATGAAATGATATACGTAGCATTTCATGGCTAGCTTTTTACATTTAGAATAATGTTTTCAAGGTTCATCCATGTCATAGCATGTATCAATACTTCATTCTTTTTTACTGATGAATTATATTCACATCGTATCGACATACGACCTCTCATTTATCTATTTATCAGTTGATGGGCATTTGGATTATTTCTACTTTTTAGCTGTTAATGCCGCTGTAAACATTTGTGTACAAATTTTTCTGTGAATGCAGTAGGTTTTTTTCACCTTTGGGGTTTTTTACTTTTATTATAAATTTGTG